ATTTTATCCCCCTCTCCTCCTGGGAGTCACAGTGAGGCTCAGTCATCCCCTTTCTCCTCTTGCAGGCCTTTCCTCTAACACGAGCCCAGCCCATCTCATTTGCATCTTGGAATCTCTGCTTCTCCTAGGACCTGGATTCATCCACCAGCCGTCTGTGAGAACGTTGACTGCTAAAACCCTTCGTCCCTGCAGTTGAGCAGTCTGCCCAGTGGCGGCCTGAGATTGAGCACACTTCTGCCTCTTCCCCTTCTCCTGTACTTGCCCACATCTCTACTTCGCTGTGACCCCTCCCACTGGAGGCCTTTGTGACCTCCCTCTCTGCCCTACCCTTCATTGACACCAACCCAACATCTTATCTTTGGTTACCTAGTGTGGAGATTCCTGTCTTTGGCTGTAAATGCTCCTGGGTGTTATACACAGATACCTACTTGATAAATGACACACAGGCCAGTCACCTGCTGGAGGACGCCAGGAAAGACAGATCACTCCCCAGGAGCGGTGCTGGCCTTGGTCCTGTGCTAACAATGTGACTGCTAGGGCCAGCGAAGGAAACGGGCCCATCCTGTGACAGCAAGAAGGACAGTTCTGGGAAGTCTCACCTGTCTCCTGGCTCCTGGGTGCCCGGCTGTCTTCCTCACTCTCTATGGAGAAGAGAGGCTTGCGGATGGCTGATCTGTGGGAGGAGAGAAGTCAGAGGGTGGCTGGGTGCAGCTGCCCACTCCCACATGTGACACCAGGCCTGATTCAATACCAGCTGGGGATCTGGGAGAGCACATCTGCCACTGTGAAATCCCCTGTGGGGGAGATCTGGCCAAAGGTCTGAGGAGCCAGGCTCACAAATCCAGGACAAGCTCATCTGGGGGTAAGACCCTGTGTCCCAGGGAGCTGGGTGAGGTTGTTGCTTACATCACTGAGGGGGCTAAAAGGATGTGCAACACCTGCAGATGAGGTCTTGAGTTTAAGGTTAGGGCAGATGAGGTCTTGAGTTTAAGGTTAGGGCTCAGAGTTGCAGGTGTTCTTTGCATTGGACAGAACACACAAAAGCTGTCTGCCTCTTCTAGCCTCCGTCTACCTGGGTTTAAAGTCAGGATAATCACAGGGGCAGACAAACTTAAGAAGGCCACAGGCAGATGGCATTGGCAGTTATTAAGTACTGTACAACACCAAAGCCTGTAACAAATTAATAGCATGGGGAGTGTAAGCCTTCAAGAATAAAAGTCCTCAGACATGTGGTCAATCTAAGGCAGTGAGTGATCCAATGCAATTTGGATCCTGATTGCAACAAAGAATACGTGAGGAGTTTTAGCAGCCAGTGAAATCTGAACACTAACTGGATATTAGATTATCAAACATTGATTTTGTTGTTATAAAAATATTTTGGGTTTTAAAAGCATGAGCCCTTCCTTGTATACAAACGTTCAGAACATTCATGAGTGAAAATGATGTCTGGATGTGCTTAAACACCCCTTCTCACCCTCAAAAGTCAATTGAGCATTATTGGCCATACTTGATAATTTTTAGAACTGAATAATGTGTACTGGGTTCATTGTACTATTTTCTCTGAATTTTTGGAAAATAATTCCAGTAGAAATACAGGAAAATAATTGTAAATTAAAGTGGTGGGTACAATGATTTCATTAGAGTACTCACTATACTTTTAAGTGAACGTTTTGATAAAAAAAAGTAAAAGTAAAAACAGACATACAGGGGTGAAAAGAAGGAAATGTGAAGGAACAAAGATGCTATCGTGGTGATTATGATGAACACAGCATACATCCACTGGCCAGCAACTTTGAGACAGAAGAAGTGAACAAATACTATGGTGTTATGAAAGGAAAACAAAACTAGGGACCCCAGTCCACTATGCCAAAAGGAAAACATGTAAGAAGCTGCCTTTTCTTTTGTTCCAAAGGAGATAGCTACAGATAAAAGGTTAAGTATCTCCATAGTAGCTGCTCTATGCACACCTTATCTTACATAAAGTGCTGATTTACTGAGTGTGAGATGAATACATAACTGACTATTCTCCTACCTGCTCCTTTTCTCTTGCCACAGGTGGATTACCACACCCTCCCTCTTTCCCCTCCAGCCTACTTTTCCCTTTTAAACAATGAAGCTCTCAAACTCATCTTTGGGGAAAGCCACTGACCTCTCTCTGGGGCATGTGCTCAACCTTGGCAAAATAAACATCTATTAGCACATCAAAAAGCTTTTATCCACCATAATCAAGTGGGCTTCATCCCTAAGATGCAAGGCTGGTTCAACATATGCAAATCAATACATGTAATCCAACATACAAACAGAACCAAAGACAAAAACCACATGATTATCTCAATAGATGCAGAAAAGGCCTTTGACAAAATTCAACAGCCCCTCATGCTAAAAACTCTCAATAAATTCAGTATTGATGGACTGTATCTCAAAATAATAAGAGCTATTTATGACAAACCCACAGCCAATATCATACTGAATGGGCAAAAACTGGAAGCATTCCCTTTGAAAACTGGCACAAGACAGGGATGCCCTCTCTCACCACTCCTATTCAGCATAATGTTGGAAGTTCTGGCTAGGGCAATCAGGCAAGAGAAAGAAATCAAGGGTATTCAGTCAGGAAAAGAAGAAGTCAAATTGTCCCTGTTTGCAGATGACATGATTGTGTATCTAGAAAACCCCATCGTCTCAGCCCAAAATCTCCTTAAGCTGATAAGCAACTTCAGCAAAGTCTCAGGATACAAAATCAATGTGCAAAAATCACAAGCATTCTTATATACCAGTAACAGACAGAAAGTCAAATCATGAATGAACTTCCATTCACAATTGCTTCAAAGAGAATAAAATACCTAGGAATCCAACTTAAAAGGGATGTAAAGGACCTCTTCAAGGAGAACTACAAACCGCTGCTCAGTGAAATAAAAGAGGACACAAACAAATGGAAGAACATACCATGCTCATGGATAGGAAGAACCAATATCGTGAAAATGGCCATACTGCCCAAGGTAATTTATAGATTCAATGCCATCCCCATTAAGCTACCAATGAGTTTCTTCACAGAATTGGAAAAAACTGCTTTAAAGTTCATATGGAACCAAAAAAGAGCCCACATTGCCAAGACAATCCTAAGTCAAAAGAACAAAGCTGGAGGCATCACGCTACCTGACTTCAAACTATACCACAAGGCTACAGTAACCAAAACAGCAGGGTACTGGTACCAAAACAGAGATATACACCAATAGAACAGAACAGAGTCCTCGGAAATAATACCACACATCTACAGCCATCTGATCTTTGACAAACCCAAGAAAAACAAGAAATGGGGAAAGGATTCCCTATTTAATAAACAGTGCTGGGAAAATTGGCTAGCCATAAGTAGAAAGCTGAAACTGGATCCTTTCCTTACTCCTTATACGAAATTAATTCAAAATGGATTAGAGACTTAAATGTTAGACCTAATACCATAAAAACCCTAGAAGAAAACCTATGTAGTACCATTCAGGACATAGGCATGGGCAAAGACTTCATGTCTAAAACACCAAAAGCAACAGCAACAAAAGCCAAAATTCACAAATGGGATCTATATTAAACTAAAGAGCTTCTGCACAGCAAAAGAAGCTACCATCAGAGTGAACAGGCAACCTACAGAATGGGAAAAAATTTTTGCAATCTACTCATCTGTCAAAGGGCTAATATCCAGAACCTACAAAGAACTCAAACTAATTTACAAGAAAAAAACAACCAATCCCATCAAAAAGTGGGCAAGGGATATGAACAGACATTTCTCAAAAGAAGACATGCATACAGCCAACAGACACATGAAAAAATGCTCATCATCACTGGTCATCAGAGAAATGCAAATCAAAACCACAATGAGATACCATCTCACACCAGTTAGAATGGCAATCATTAAAAAGTCAGGAAACAACAGGTGCTGGAGAGGATGTGGAGAAATAGGAACGCTTTTACACTGTCAGTGGGAGTGTAAATTAGTTCAACCATTGTGGAAGACAGTGTGGTGATTCCTCAAGGATCTAGAACTAGAAATATCATTTGACCCAGCAATCCCGTTACTGGGTATATACCCAAAGGATTATAAATCATTCTAGTATAAAGACACAGGCACATGTATGTTTACTGCAGCACTGTTCACAATAGCAAAGTCTTGGAACTAACCCAAATGCCTATCAATGATAGACCAGATAAAGAAAATGTGGCACATATATACCATGGAATACTATGTGGCTATAAAAAACGATGAGTTCATGTCCTTTGCAGGAACATGGATGAAACTGGAAACCATCTTTCTCAGCAGAGTCACACAAGAAGAGAAAAATCAAACACTATATGTTCCCACTCATAAGTGGGAGTTGAACCATCAGAACACATGGACACAGGGATGGCAACATTATACACTGGGGAATGTTGGGGGTTGGGGGGCAGGGGGAGGGATAGCATTAGGAGAAATACCTAATGTAAATGAGTTGATGGGTGTAGCAAACCAATATGGCACATGTATACCTATGTAACAAACCTGCATGTTATGCACATGTACCCCAGAACTTAAATTAAAAAAACAAAGAAAATCAGTATATAGAAGAATGAGATCCAAATTATGTCAAAAATTTACATTTACTTATACGGAAAAATAAATAAAAAACAAAACAAAACAAAAAGAAGCTAACATAGGAATACCCTGACAGTATCAGGAAGGGGCGACAGACTTAGGCTTGCAGTCGGGCAGTCACGAGGAAAGTCACAAATGAGGAGACTGAGTGGGAGAAAGAAGCCTAGCAAGTAGGGGGAAAGGAGGCTTCCTGGGAGAAGGAGTCCAGGGGCCCCAAGAGAACCCCTCACTCAGCAGGGACTGAAAGGAAGGCAGGGCCAGGTGGTCTGAAGAGCAGCCAAGGAGGCCAGAACAGCTTCCAGGTCCCCTGGCCTCAGAGAAGCCTCCTCCCTCCTGAAAGGCTGAGTGCCTTGTGCTCTGTCTGCCCTGTCTATCCCCTCACCTGCACGGGGGCCTGGCCGGCATCTTCTCTCTTCTCCCCAGGGCGCTTCTCCTTGCTCTAGCCGCCTGATGAGTTCTGGTTTAGAATGGAGAATTCCTGCTCACAGGGAAAAAAACCATAAGGTGACTCCTGGTTGTAGGCTCCAGGGGCCATTTGCTGGAGCCACCCAGGGCAGGAAGGGAGGGAGACTCAGAGGGGGAAGGCTCAGGAGGACCCTGTCTACCATGCTCAGAGTACAAACCCCCAGGGGGAGCCGCAAGGTGGGGAAAGAGGCCTGCAGGTGCCCAGTGGCAGTCAGTATGAAACTTTACCAAAGGTAGACCTTCCTCAGGGGAATAGAGAAAACAACATTCTTGTCTCTGAACCTAACCCTATGGCAACATCAGAGGCGCCACAGGTCAAATGTTAGGCTCGAGGGAAGCCACGCTTACCTAGTGAGACCAGGTGGCTGTAGTTCTCCAGTGTCACCTCCCTGTACAGGGCTCTCTGAGCAGGATTCAGCAGCCTCCATTCCTTCTGGGTGAAATCCACAGTGACATCCCCAAATGCCAAGAAAGCCTGTAACACAAAACCCAGGCATGCTCACCAGGGACAGTGTTGCACTCAGGCAGTTGGAGGATTCCAGGTTCTGCCACCTGTGCCTGGAGTTCCAAGACCTCCGTCTCTGCCTGGCCCCAGTATTTATGGAGCTAGGTAGTCTTAACAGAGGCGCCACAGGTCAAATGTTAGGCCGAGGGAAGCCATCACGCTACCTAGTGAGACCAGGTGGTGGCTGTGTCTCCAGTGTCACCTCCCTGTACAGGGCTCTTTCCTGAGCAGGATTCAGCAGCCTCCATTCCTTCTTGGTGGTGAAATCCACAGTGACATCCCCAAATGCCAAGAAAGCCTGTAACACAAAACCCAGCGCTCACCAGGGACAAAGCTTGAACTCAGGCAGTTGAGATTCTAAGCCCTGCCACCTGTGCCTGGAGTTCCAAGACCTCCGTCTCTGCCTGGCCCCAGTATTTATGGAGCTAGGTAGTCTTAAAGGGGCTTCCTAGAAGCACAGAGAGTTTCCAACTGCGTGAGCTTTAAACCTAGGCAGGGAGGAAGAGAAACTCAAAAATTAAGTAACAGTGTTTCCTAAACATATGAACAGTAAATAACACATTACTAAAGTTTTACTGCAATTCTGAGCCATGTTTTGAGTTAGATACTCCATGAATTTCTAAATGAGCAAGACACAGCTCTCATGGATCTTCTGATAAAATGACAACCGATCATTTGGGACCTGTGGAAAATGTAATCTCCACTGCAGGATCCCCAGAATCTCGATCCAGGTTAGATCTGATGTCTACCAAAATCCAGTGCTGTATAGGGCAGCTCCTGAGCACACCTTGGAATTAGTGGATGGAGCACTTTTGAAAGTAACCCTTCTCACAGCACACATCTGTTCTGCAACTACGCACGTGACCAGTTTACCCTGTAGGTGCTCGATGAATTTAAATTCCATTTGTGGCTGTGGGCACGAAGCTGCCTGTAATCCCAGCACCTGAGAGGCTGAGGCGGGTGGGATACCCTGAGGTCAGGAGTTTGAGACCAGCCTGGCCAACACGGTGAAACCCCTGCCCTACTAAAATATAAAAATTAGCCAGGTGTGTGGTATGGCTGTGTGTAATCCCAGGTGCTTGGGAGGCTGAGGCAGGAGAATCGCTTGAACCTGGGAGGAGGTTACAGTGAGCTGAGATTGTGCCACACAGCACTAGAGCACCCAGGCGACAGAGCAAGTTATTCTGTCTCCATAAATAACAATCAATTCATCATACTACTAGACTCATGAAAGAAAGCCTCCTTGACCCTTAATCAATCCTCATTTCCCCCAGCACTGATCTATCATGTCGCACCTACTGTAAAGATCCTCAAAATCCAGGCAGGCTGGGCGTGCTGGCCTGTGCCTATAATCCCAGCACTTTGGGAGGCCAATGCAGATTGCTTGCATCCAGAGTTTGAGACCAACCTGGGCAAAATAGCGTAGACTTCACCTACATACACAAAAATAAAAATTAGTTGAGCATGGTGGCAAGTGCCTGTAGTCCCAGCTAGTTGGGAGGCTGAGTGTGAGCACCGCTTGAACCTGGGAGGTCAAGGCTGCAGTGATATTATTGTGCCACTGCACTTAGCCTGGGCAACAGTGAGACCCTGACCACCATCCCCCCAAAAAACCCAAAAGAAAAACCAAGAAAACCCCAGACAGCTTAAAGACAAGTTAGCTCCTCAGGCTGAGTATCCAGCCTCTGTCCTCAGGAAGGCCGGGAGGTAGCCAGCAGTCTTAGGAATAATCAGATGACAGGGGCCAATGAGGGAGGTAGGTGTTATCTCAGCAGCTTAGCCACGCTGCGAGAGTCTGCAGGAAGTGGCAGAGCTAAGGGAGGTGGCACGGTCGCTGTCAAACCGTGAGGACCCTGGTGAGCTGGGGCATCTGTGGCCAACTGACAATGCAGGCTCGGCACAGGGCAGTGACTACTCCTCAGAGACGAAATACTTAATCCAGGGCTGTAGGTGCAATCTCCCAGTTTGCAATGCTGAGAGCCCATCTAACCATCCAACACGCTGTCTGCCAAACCAGAGAGATAGTTCAGGTGCCCTGTGTGACTCTGCACCTCCACTAGAACACACAGAAAATCAGCTGTGGCCACCCCAAGCCAGCACCTGGCAGATTTCTGAGTTGGGAGCCTAAGGGACCACAGTCCACTCCTGCACCCACATCTAGGCCACGCTTCTCGCAGCTGTTCCAGGCAGTGGCCATGCATTTTAAGGACATCAAGGCAAGCCCCTTCCGATCCAGGCGCTCCTCTGATGTCCCACTATGGCTTGAAGACCTGCTGGCCTGGCTGAGCCTCCCAAGGCTGTACTTGGTCTCCGACACTTCCACGCAATTTTATCCCCCTCTCCTCACTGGAGTCTGATGAGGCTCCAGTCATCCCCTTTTCTCTCTTGCAGGCCTTTCCTCTAACACGACCCCAGCCCATCTCATTGCATCTTGGGATCTGCTTCTCCTAGGACCTGGATTCATCCACCAGCCGTCTGTGAGAACGTTGACTGCTAAAACCCTTCGTCCCTGCAGTTGAGCAGTCTGCCCAGTGGCGGCCTGAGATTGAGCACACTTCTGCCTCTTCCCCATCTCCTGTACTTGCCACATCTCTCGCAACTGCCCAGGGAGCCCCTCCCACTGGAGGCCTTTGTGACCTCCCTCTCTGCCCTACCCTTCATTGACACCAACCCAACATCATCACTGGACACCTGAGTGTGGAGATTCCTGCCTTTGGCTGTAAATGCTCCCTGGGTGTTATACACAGATCACTACTTGATAAGTGACACCCACAGGCCAGTCACCTGCTGGAGGACGCCAGGAAAGACAGATCACTCCCCAGGAGCGGTGCTGGCCTTGGTCCTGTGCTAACAATGTGACTGCTAGGGCCAGCGAAGGAAACGGGCCCATCCTGTGACAGCAAGAAGGACAGTTCTGGGAAGTCTCACCTGTCTCCTGGCTCCCTGGGGTCCCATGACTGTCTTCCTGCTCTCCATGGAGAAGGGAAGCTTGCAGATGGCTGATCTGTGGGAGGAGAGAAGTCAGAGGGTGGCTGGGTGCAGCTGCCCTCCCCACATGTGACACAGGCCTGATTCCAATACCAACTGGGGATCTGGGGAGAGCACATCTGCACAATCCCCCTGTGGGGGTCTGGCCAAAAGGTCTAGGGAGCCAGGCTCCCTGCAAATCCAGGACAAGCTCATCTGGGAGTGAAGACCCTGTGTCCCAGGAGCTGGGTGAGGTTTGTTGCTTACATCACTGAGGGGCTAAAAGGATGTGCAACACCTGCATGTCGCCGAGGGCGATCAACATCATCATCGCGAGTCCACAGTCATCATCATCATGAGTCCTGATCATGATCATCATGATCGCTGGAGTCCTGATGATCATGATCATCATGATCGCGAGTCCTGATGATCATCATCATCATGAGTCCTGATCCTTCGTCATCTTGGTCCGCAGTCATCATCATCATCACCATGAGTCCTGATCAACATCATCGCGAGTCCATAGTCATCATCATCATCATTGTGAGTCCTGATCATCATCATCATCATCATCATCATCATGAGTCCTGATCATCATCATCATCATGGTCCTCATCATCATCAGTATCATCATCGAGTCCACCAGTCATCATCATCACCATCATGAGTCTGATCATCATCATCATCATCATCATGAGTCCCACAGTCATCATCATCATCGTGAGTCCTGATCATCATCATCATCATGAGTCCTGATCATCATCATGAGTCCTGATCATCATCATCATCATCATGGTCCTGATCATCATCATCATGAGTCCTGATCATCATCATCATCATGATGATTCCTGATCATCATCATCATATCTAAGTGGTAGTGTCATCATGACTCCTGATCATCATCATCATCATGAGTCCTGATCATCATCATCATCATGAGTCCTGATCATCATCATCATCATCATGGGTCTGATCATCATCATCATGAGCCCTGATCATCATCCATCATCATCATGAGTCCTGATCAAAATACCATCATCGCAGGTCTGATCAGCATCATCATCATCATCGCGAATTCCTGATCATCATCCTCATGAATCCCTGATCATCATCCCCTTGAGTCCTGATCATCATCAAGAGTCCTGATCATCATCATCATCATTATCGCAGGTCCTGATCGTATCATCATCGAGTCCTAATCATCATCATCTCAGCGGAGTCTGATCATCATCATCATCATCGAGTCACAATCATCATCATCATGAGGTCTGATCATCATCCTCATGGGTCTGATGAGTCATCCATCATCCTCATGAGTCCTGATCGTCATCATCATCATCATCAAAGTCCTGATCATCATCATCACTTCGAGTCCTGATCATCATCATCATCGCCCGAGTCTGATCATCAGCATCGCTCATCATGACTCTGATCATCATCATGAGTCCTGAGCATCATCATCGCCGAGTCCTGATCATCATCATCATCATCGCGAGTCCTGATCATCATCATCAACATCATGAGTCTGATCATCATCATCATCATCATGAGTCTGATCAGCATCATCATCATCAAGGTGCTCATCTTTTATCATCCTCGCGAATTCTGATCATCGCTCATCATGAGTCCCTGATCATCATCATCATCAAAGGTGCTCACTCATCATCCCATCATGAGTCCTGATCATCATGGTCATCATGAGTCTGATCATCATCAACATCATGAGTCCTGATCAGCATCATCATCATCATGAGTCCTGATCAGCATCATCATCATCGCGATTCGATCAGCATCATCATCATCAAGAGTTACTCATCATCATCCTCATGAGTCTGATCATCATCATCGCGAGTCCTGATCATCACATCATCATCAAGAGTGCTCATCCATCATCCTCATGAGTCCTGATCATCATCATCATGAGTCCTGATCATCATCATCATGAGTCTGATCATCATCTCATGAGTCTGATCATTCATCATTATCCTTGAGTCTTGATCATCTCATCATCATGAGTCCACAATCATCCCATCATCATCATGAGTCTGATCAGCATCCTCATCATGAGTCCTGATCATCATAATCCTCATCATGAGTCCTGATGATCATCATCATCATGAGTCCTGATCATCATTATCATCATGGTGCCAGTCATCATCATCATCATGAGTCTGATCATCATCATCTCATCATCAGAGTCTGATCATCATCATCATCATCATCATCATGAGTCCTGTTCATCATCATCATAATCATGGTCCTGATCATCATCATCATGAGTCTGATCATCATCATCATCATGAGTCCTGACCATCATCATCATCATGAGTCCTGATCATCATCGTCATCATGAGTCCTAATCATCATCAACATCATGAGTCCTGATCCAGCATCATCACATCATCATGAGTCTGATCAACATCATCATCAAAGTGCTCATCATCAACCTCATGAGTCTGATGATGTCATAGGTCTGATCATCATCATCATCATCATGAGTCCTGATCCTCATCATCGCGACTCCTGATCATCATAAACATCATCATGATCCACAGTCATCATCATCATCATTAGTCGTGATCATCATCATCATGACACCTGATCATCATCATCATCATCATGAGTCCTAATCATCATCCTCATGAGTCCTGATCATCATCATCATCGAGTCCTGATCATCATCATCATCATTATCGCGAGTCCACAGTCATCATCATCATCATGAGTCCTGATCATCATCATCCATCATCATTGAGTCTGATCATCATCATCGTGGTCTGATCATCATCATCGTCATCATGACTCTGATCATCATCATCATCATGAGTCCTGATCATCATCCATGAGTCTGATCATCATCATCATCATGAGTCCTGATCATCATTATCAACATCGCGAATTCACAGTCATCCATCATCATCATCATGAGTCCTAAGTCAGCATCATCATCATCATGAGTCTGAACAACATCATCATCATCAAAGTGCTCATCATCATCCTCATGAGTCCCTGATCATCATCATCATGAGTCCTGATCATCAACATCATGAGTCCTGATCATCATCAACATCATGAGTCCTGATCATTCATCATCATCGCAGATGTAGTCAACGTAATATCATCATAGTCCTGATCAGCATCATCATCATCGCGAGTCCTGATCATCATCTTGAGTCCTAAGTCATCATCATCATCATCATCATGAGTCCTGATCATCATCATCATAATCATGGTCCTGATCATCATCATCATCGAGTCTGATCCATCATCATCATCATGAGTCTGATCAGCATCCTCATCATGAGTCTGATCATCATAATCCTCCTCATGAGTCCACAGTGATCATCATCGTCATGAGTCTGATCATCATTATCATCATGAGTCTTGATCATCATCATCATCATGAGTCTGATCTCATCATCATCATCAGAAGTCCTGATCATCATCATCATCATCATCATCATGAGTCCTGTTCATCAATGTCATAATCATGGTCCTGATCATCATCATCATCGAGTCCTGATCATCATCATCGCTGAGTCTGACCATCATCATCGTCATGATCCTGATCATCATCATCATCACGAGTCTGATCATCATAAATCATCATAGATCTGATCATCATCACATCATGAGTCTGATCAGCATCTGTCATCATCATGAGTCTGATCAGGCATCATCGTCATCATGAGTCTGATCAGCATCATCATCAAAGTGCTCATCATCAACCTCATGAGTCCTGATAATCATCCTTGAGTCCTGATCATCATCATCATCATCATGAGTCCTGATCATCGTCATCATGAGTCCTGATCATCATCAACATCATCACATGATCCTCATCATCATCATCTCATCATTAGTCGTGATCATCATCATCATGACACCTGATCATCATCATCATGAGTCCTAATCATCATCCTCATGAGTCCTGATCATCATCATCATCATCAAGAGTCCTGATCATCATCATCGCCGAGTCCTAGTCATCATCATCATCATGAGTCCTGATCATCATCCCTTCCTTCATGACTCTGAGTCATCATCATGAGTCTAGGCATCATCATCATGATCACAATTATCATCATCATCATCATGATCCTGATCATCATCATCAACATCATGAGTCACAGTCAGCATCATCATCATCATGGTCCTGATCAGCATCATCATCATCATGAGTCCTGATCAGCATCATCATCATCAAGAGTGCTCATCATCATCCTCATGAGTCCTGATCATCATCATCATGAGTCCTGATCATCATCATCATCAAGTGCTCGTCATCATCCTCATGAGTCCTGATCATCATCATCATGAGTCCTGATCATCATCATCATGAGTCCACAGTCATCACATCATCATCATGAAGGTACTGTCATTCATCATTATCATGAGTCTTGATCAGCATCATCATCATCAGGTCCTGATCCAGCATCATCATCATCATCATGAGTCTGATCAGCATCCTCATCATGAGTCTGATCATCATAATCCTCATCATGATCCTGATGATCATCATCATCATGAGTCCTGATCATCAGTATCTCATCATGAGTCTTGATCATCATCATCATCATGATCCGGATCTGTCATCATCATCATCATCATCATGAGTCCTGTTCATCATCATCTCATAATAATCATAGTCCCGCAGTCATCATCATCATCGAGTCCTGATCATCATCATCATCATGAGTCCTGACCATCATCATCATCATGAGTCCTGATCATCATCGTCATCATGAGTCCTGATCATCATCAACATCATGAGTCTGATCGCATCATCATCATCGCCGAGTCCTGATCAGCATCATCATCATCATGAGTCTGATCAGCATCATCATCAAATTGCTCATCTGTCAACACCATGAGTCTGATAATCATCATGAGTCCTGATCATCATCATCATCATGGTCAGTCATCATCATGACTCTGATCATCATCAACATCATCATGATCCTGATCATCATCATCATCATTAGTCGTGATCATCATCAATCAGCTGATCACATCATCATCATCATCATATAGGTCTAATCATCTCCTCATGAGTCCTGATCATCATCATCATCATGAGTCTGATCATCATCATCATCATCATTGAGTCTGATCATCATCATCGCGAGTCCTGATCATCATCCTTCCATCGTCATCATGACTCTGATCATCATCATCATGAGTCCTGATCATCATCGAGTCCTGATCATCATCATCATCATGATTCTGATCATCATCATCAACATCATGAGTCCTGATCATCATCATCATCATCATGAGTCCTGATCAGCATCATC